TGCTATCAGCTATCAGGTGCCATGGTGTCACTGACCTGAGTTAGTCTCGGCCGTGGGCAGTGGCACGTGTTCTCTCTCTCAGGCCAGCTGCAGCCATTAAACTACACACTTAAGCCTGAGATCAGCTCTGAATTATAAGTATAAGCCACTTGTGATAAGCCAGTTGAATATAATCAAAGGCTGCTTAACACCATCTTAAGGTGGTCTCTTTCAGTGAACATGGTCTGTATTAAAAAGTTTAAACATTAACAAGAACAAATCTATTCCCACACTTTCTGGTCTTGAAAATTTATCTCACAATAAATATGTTTTCTTGAGTATTTACTATACATCTGAAGTCTTAGGAAACATGGGAATTAATTTTACACAACTGTCAGCTCACACTAAGACGACCACAAATTCTGAAATCGCCAGGTTCTCTCAATAGCCTTCCAATTCTAAGAACTCAAGATGCGAACGAGAGGATTCCTAACAACTGCATTCCCTTCACGTCTTTGGTCATCTTGCTTACTTTCTGTGGATTCTACCACTGTAATTTTTCTTAGACTTTTATCTTGCAAAAGCATCCTTTATGGTGAAACAATGTTGAGAGGGTTTGCACAAATGTTGAAGAAAGGATAACTAACAGTCACAAAGCGATGTCCCAAGTGTCCCGGGATCTCTGTAGAAACACCTCCAACAGTCTCAGGTGTCCTTGACTTCTTTTTCTGTCTGCTTCCATGTTTCACTGTGTACTGCAGTATTCCCACCTAAGCTTGAACTTTCCCTAAGTGCCAACTAGGCCTGACAGTATTTGCCTTTTCATGAGACTTCCTTATCACGCCACCTGATTGCCTCAGACTCAGTGGGCCACAGGACTACTGGCCTGTGGCAGTCAGAACAAGGGTAAAAGGTATAGAATCTGAGTGCATCTTTGGGGAGATCTGCATCAAAGGCTGCTTCCCCTACTTTGCAGCCTTCCACAAACAGCTTGTGGTGTTCCTCAACGTCTCCCAGTAATCAGGCTGGTATCATGGAGGAATTATTCAGGAAATGGTGGAAGAAGAGCTGCTCATTAATTCCTATGAGGCTCAGCTTCTGACGGAGGCTGAGCACTGGCAGGCTGGGGATCTACGTGGGAGCCTGGCCAGGTGCCCACGACATGAGGCAGGCAGCCTGGAGCACAGAGCTTCCCCACGCCAACCTCATCACCCACGGTGGTTACGGAGGTGCCCCATTGTAATTGTGTTGGTGCTTATGTGATTTCTTATGTCCAGTACTATTATATAGTTGGACATGGCAGGGTTTGGTGCATATATGTATATAATCATTATCTCTACGAAGACTTGAAAAAACAGGGTGCTCAGGCTGCACCTTCTACTGCCACCCATGGATGGTTGAACAGATTCAAGGCTTGAGCCAACACTCACAATGTACAAGTTAGTAGTGAGGCTGTAAGTGGAAAAATGATAGCTGCCCAGTGTTTGTTAAGATTAAATTTTGTAAGCAAATTAGTTTTAATTCACCATATGATGACAGGAATGGATGATATATTTTTCAAGTTAGTGGTAATGTTTTACTTATACCATCAGGACATATAACACCCCAAAGAACAGCAATGTAGATTCTAAAATAATTCGTTTTTAATACCATGAAAATTGAGTGATAAAACTCAATATGCTTTGGGCTGGCAGTTTAGCTCAGAAGTTCCAGTGCCTGCCTCACAAACGCAAGGGCCTGAGTTCGATCTTGATACCAAAACAAACAAAAAACTCAATATGCTTTCTTTGGCATTAGGCTATAAAAACGAATTGAATCAGACAAATTTCTCCAGACAACTTTTTTATCAAACATAATTGTATAGGAATTCTCCAAAAACCTTTTCAATGCCTAATTGCCATGCCAATTCTAACTAATTTGAAACAGCTAATTAATTCTTACTGCCTGTTAATACCTATTATTATCGCTTCTAGCTACATGTCTCCCCAAAGCCTCATGCTCTCCTAGATGGGGCTGTCAGGAGACGGCTGGATCTCAGATGTGTGAATGTGGATTAAAAGTGAGTACCTGGGATTAATGGTGTGAGAGTACTACATTAGTTCTGGGTGTTGGTAATGGGAAGACTCACCCTGGGTGTGGGTTGCACTACCCCAAAGGATGGATGGGATAAAAGGAAGAGGCAGGCTTGCTGCTGCGCAGCTCTTGCAAATTCACTGCTTCACCTGCTGCAGCTTGCTGCCTCCAACCTGCTCAGCAGTTAACTGCTCTCCTCTGTGATGCCCTTCTGCCATGCCACCGTGACTTGGACCAGCTGAATACGGACTGAAACCTTTACAAACCTTGAGCTAAAATAAACCTTTCCTCCTTTAACTTGTGGGTGCTGGGTATGTTGTCTCAGCAAGGAGAAAAGTAACTAGGACACCAGTGGAGCTACTTTGCAGCAACCTCCATTTCAAGGGCAATTCCCGGATGATTAATATGTTCTCCAAACCACAATTTCAATTAGATACCTGAAAAGTCTTACTCCTGTATTTCCAAAGGACATTCATTTCAAAAATCTCTAATATCTATTTCCTCTGTTCATTACACCTTTCATTAACAGTACATTATCAATGGTTTCAGTAAATCCATATTCAAAACCTGCTGAAAGAAATTTCAACTTGCTGTTCTATGAATCCATCTGCCAGTGAGCATGCTTAGTCCTACAGAGCCCAAACTAACTCCTACTTTGAAAAAGTTACTCCATTCTGTGATCAGGTCACTGCCCAGTTACTAGAAAAACCCCAAAGTGCCCTTTTGACCAAATTACAATCCCATGCTAAATGACAAAGGGCCTAGGAAACAGTGCTCTAACCCCCTCCCATTGTAGCCATAGCTCCGACCTTTGTTCTAACCCTGGCTTAGGAATGGAAGGCAGTCTTGTACTGTTTGAAGTCCGGATCCTGATTAACCTGTAAGTTAGTGGTTTTAGACATTGAGACCCCAAGTTAATTGTCAAACTGTTTGCTCATCCTGAAGGTCTTGGTGGCCTTTGAACCATCCTATAGATATCTATTAATTATCAATGTGTGACTGCAGAGTAGTACGTGATTGCTAACCACCAACTCAAGTCAGCAGACCTTTGTCCCCTGCCTGCATTTTCAACATGTTAATCAATCAGGCACTGACCTGTCTAAAAAGCCCCTAGATCTGCTTCTTTGCCGATAAAAAGCCTGTTTAAAATAGGGTTCCGGGCTCTCGGTACGAATCCACTATGTTGGTGAGGTCTGGGAGCCCAGGCTCGAGCTTGCAATAAACTCCTCGTGTAATTACATTGGACTAGACTCCTTGATGGTCTTTGGAGATATCGTGATCTGGGCACAACAGTCCACCACCCAGCAATTGAGCCGCAGTGCAGCATTTTCACTCAGAAATTCAGAAATCCTCAGGCAATAACAATGCAAAAATGGACCCTCAAAGAAACCTTAGGGCTCTAGAGCTCTGGAAAATACAGTATTTGAGATATTTTCAAATCAAGAAAGTGTATGCATACATTTCCTGGGAACATAATATTGCACAATAACCTTTAATAAACATGTGCAGCTTTTATTTTTTTTAAAAGAGGTACAGATATATTAGGCAGTTATAGAAGTACACTTTTTAAAAAAGAGTATGGGCCACTAAGAGGGAGAGAGGTGCACTATAGTATGGAAGTGGAATATTTGTTTTTGGTGGTAGAAATCTGTGGAATTTGTGAATTATATAATGTTCCGGCACCTGTAGATTTATACTTTAAAAAACACTAGTCACACTTTAGTCACAAAAATCTTAATAAGGTCAAAAGCATGAGTTTGTTATGAGTTAGCTTGCAAGTAACATTTTCAGGCCTGGCCTGAATGCTATTGTTTGGTAGTCTCTACATTTCAATTTTTAAAAAAATTTTCCTTTTAACATAAATATTTTTAAAACTTAAGGGGGCACAAGGGTTTAATGTTAGTGCATTTGCCTAGCATATGTAGCAAGGCAAATGATAATTAAAATGTAAAAAGAAACTTTATTTTATTGTTTTTTTCCTTCCTGGGAAAAACTGGCTATTTAGGGAAGTAGCATGAAAATGACAGTTCCAGTGCATATTCTTCTATATATACACATGGTAAAATATAGAAGAAAGCACTTCCGTCTTTACTGAACTAAAAACTAGGGATTTCTACAGCTGTTTCAATGACTTACAATAGCAAGTTATGTATGTTATATAACTCTTAGCCTTAAAAATAACCTCAGCTACAATAAACCTTTCCTCCTGAAGAAAAACAAACAACAAAAACCTAAATGGACAGGCTTTAACCTATACTACAAAAGTTTAAAACAAGCATCATACTCACTAAAACAAAAATCTTAAAACCTAGTCTGCATCAAGATCTGTGAGACTATACTAGAATCAGAATAAGGCCCTGTGAATGTCATTTGAAGACCAATTCTTTAAAAAGTAAAATGAATTGGGCCAGGGATTTGGCTCAGTGGTTTTGCCGCCTGCCTAACAAGCCCAAGAGCCCGAGTTCAATCCTCGGCACCAAAAAAAAAAAAAAAAAAAAAAAAAAAAAAGGAATGAGCTTAAATTCAGGATAGTCCTAATGACTAATGAATTACTCTAGCAGGCCTTCATTTCTCAGGTAACAAATGTTAACACCATATAAAGATAGTGCTGATCTGCAAGTGATTGCTGGAACTCTTTTTTTAAATGTCAACTCAATTCTTATTTTTCACAGGAACCATTACAGATGAATAGTCCAAAAGTTTATAAGAAAAACATATTACATTATACTTCTTAGAATATCTCCACCTGAGAATGTTTTCTGCAAAATTTATATGGAAAAAATTGACATTAACTTTCTCATATAATTTCTACAGAATGCCACTACATACATTTTCAGAGATATTCAAACACAATCTTAAGATATATAGTGTTTCTCTTGTGACTTCTTCATGTATTTGATAGTATCTGTGTGTACTGGATGCTTTCCCACATTGCTTACATATTATAAGGTTTCATTCCACTGTGAATTCCTTTATATCTATAAAGACTTGGAAAACCCTTCCCCAAAAGGCTTATGTACAGAGGATTTCTACTTGGTGTGATTTCTTTCATGTTTTTGACAATGACTGCGTGTAGTGAAAGCTTTCCCACATTGCTTACATTCGTAGGGTTTCTCGCCAGTGTGACTTCTTTCATGTCTTTGACAAGAACTGTGTGTAATGAATGCTTTCCCACACTGCTTGCATACATAAGGTCTGTGCCCAATGTGACCTTTTTCATGTGTTCTGTAACTGCTGTTAACACGGAATGCTTTCCCACAATGCTTACACTTATAGGGTTTCTCCCCAGTGTGAATTCTATCATGTATTTTAAAACGACCGTGTGTAGTGAATGCTTTTCCACACTGCTTACATACAAAGGGCTTCTCTCCAGTGTGAATTCTTTCATGTGTTTTACAGTAGTTGTGTGTAGTAAATGCTTTCCCACATTGCTTACATTTATAGGGTTTCTCATTAGTGTGACGTCTTTCATGTATTTTAAAACAGCCATTTGTAGTGAATGCTTTCCCACATTGTTTACATTCATAGGGTTTCTCCCCAGTGTGAATTCTTTCATGTATTTTCCCATAATAGATTCTAGTGAATGCTTTCCCACAATGCTTACATACATAGAGTTTCTCCCCAGTGTGAATTCTTTCATGTACTTTAAAACCACTGCGTGTATTGTATATTTTCCCACATTGCATACATACATAGGGCTTCGCTCCAGTGTGAATTCTTTCATGTACTTTTAAACAACCATTTGTAGTAAAAGCTTTCTCACATTGCTTACATTTATAGGGTCTCTCCCCCGTGTGACGTCTTTCATGTTTTTGACGATTGCTCTGAGTACCGAATGCTTTCCCACATTGCTTACATTCATAGGGTTTTACCCCAGTGTGAATTCTTTCATGTATTTTACAATAACTGAGTGCAGCAAATGATTTCCCACATTGCTTACATACATACAGTTTCTCACCAGTGTGACTTCTTTCATGTATTTTATAATTCATGTGTGTAGTGAATGCTTTCCCACATTCCTTACATACATAGGGTTTCTCACCAGTATGATTTCTTTCATGTATTTTACAAAACCTGTGTGTAGTGAATGCTTTCCCACATTGGTTACATACATAGGGTTTCTCCCCAGTGTGAATCCTTTCATGTACCTTTAAATAACAGTTTGTAATGAATGCTTTCCCACACTGCTTACATACATAGGGTTTCTCCCCACTGTGACGTCTTTCATGTATTTTACAATAACTCAGTGCAGCAAATGATTTCCCACATTGATTACATACATACAGTTTCTCACCAGTGTGACTTCTTTCATGTATTTTATAACGCATTTGTGTAGCGAATGCCTTCCCACATTGTTTACATACATAGGGTTTCTTGCCAGTGTGATTTTTTTCATGTCTTTTACAAAACCTGCGTGTAGTGAATGCTTCCCCACATTGGTTACATACGTAAGGCTTTTCCCCAGAGTGAATTCTTTCATGTACTTTTAAACAACTGCTTGTAATGAATGCTTTCCCACATTGCTTACATACATAGGGTTTATCCCCAGTGTGAATTCTTTCATGTATTTTCAAATATTTGGTTGTAGTGAATAATTTCCTACATTGCTTGCATTCATAGTTTTTACCAGAGTCACTTCTTTCCTGTCTTTGCAAATATTTGCACTTACGGAATGTTTTCCTAGATTGTTTACCTACATGTGGATTTCCCTCAGTGTGTGTTTTTTCATGGATTTCAATGTCTTGGGGTGTGCTAGAGACTTGCACAGTTTTCTTACATACCAAGGTCTTCACATCATGGTGAGGTCTTTCTCTAAGATCAGAGTAGGCTTTCCCACATTCCTTTCTACTTGCTTGCTTCTGAAAGGATTGGGAATCACTGCAAGGTTTCCCAGGTCCACTACATCTAGCCAGTATCTCTTCAAATCCCTCATACTCACATGGTTTGTGTCCACTGTGAGATATGATGGGCACATTTGGCAACGAATGACCAATCAAGGACTTTCTATAAGCAAAGCTTTCAACTGGTTTTAAAACAGCTTCCTTCATGTTCACAGTGGCATCTGGAGTGCAAAGGAATATCACTTCATGTTGGTTCCAAGCTTTATGTTGATAGCATTTCTCTACCTCTTCATTCCTTACATTTCTCCAGCAACTTTTGTATGCTTCATAAATTTCCTGGTTATCCCGTGTTCTTCGTATAGCAGCCATGTTCGTAAATATTTCCCACATCACATCTCTGTAGAGCATCTTTTGAGATGGATTCAGCAAAGCCCATTCCTCCCTGGTGAAGGTCATAGCCACATCCTCAAAGGTCACTTCCTCCATTGTGTGGTTTGAAGGTCTCTCAAGGTCCTTCCAATGCAGCCCACAGCCTGTAGAAGTCACAGAAGAGGGTGAATGAGGGCTCTCTGCAATGTGCTCAGAATATCCATGCTGGTGCCAGGATTTTATCAAGACTCTTGAGTACAACTGACATTAACACTAGCCTACCTATGTATTACTTGCACACATTCCTTGACTTTGTAACAGCTTACTTTCCCAAAATGTCAAATGGAGATAACAACAGTCTACCTTGTAGTTGCATCAAAATCTATACAATATTTTCAACAATGCCAGGCATAGAGAAAGATTCAATATTTGCCTTCACCATTACCAAGCAAAGTCTATGAGAAGCAATATTACCTGATCCTTCCATTGGGTGACATAACCGTATGACAAAAAACCATGGATGGAATGAATGTAGCAGCAGCTATCTGAGGACTGAAAAGTGATTGGGATAAGACAGTTCAGAGCAGGAGAGTAGATCTCAAAGCAGAAACAATCTGACCCTGCTTCTCAATTTCCTTGGATAATCTTCCTTTGTTCTTCAGCCTTGCTTCCAATCTCATTCTCTTCTTTATCTATTTTTTCCTCATATCCCTTCTAAGTTCTCTTTCCTGAGAATAAAACTGATTTATTAAGAAGATTTTTACTGTATATAATTTTTAAATTGTTTTTAGATTTTGTTATGACTATTAAGCTTTCATCTATGGTTAAAGGTAGAAAGTTAACAGTTATCATCATTTGTCAGTTTCTGGAATCTGCTTGATGCTATTGTTATTACTGATTTTACTACTTTAGTGAAGGTGATATAGCTGTGATCAGGTTTTCCTTGTGTGGCAATACTGGCACTCTGGCATTTATAAACAGTACCATCATCCAGTAAAAAAGATTGGGTGTTAGGTCAAACAGACACTGACCCCTAAAAAAACCAAAGAGGCAGGATCTTAGGACCGAGACACAAGCCAAAAATCAGCTACATGTAGAAGATGTCTTTGAAAAATAATAATTTCCTAAAGAGATCTCCATACTAGAAACAAAGCTACCTACCACAAGGAATTCACAAGCATCATCACAGAAAACAACTAAAAAACTGAAAATGAGAAGACATGGAAGCAAGATACAATCTGAAACCTTTAGCTTGCCAAGGCAAAACCAGGGGACACTGAGGTAGAAGAATTCAAAAGCTACCCAGCTGATCTTTCTGAAATGGTAGCAGAAGTAGCAAAGCAGATGAATAAGGATCTAGAAAAAAACAAATCAAAAATAAATGCAGTTTACTAAAGAGTTGATGACCATAATAAAGGACATGATTGGATACAGACAAAAAAATACATAGGAGCTTTGGAAAGTATGGAAATAATAAATGTGCAATATAGGAAAGAACTATAATGTATACACAGATCCAAACAGATATATCAGAGAAAAATTTTTATTCAAATTATACACAGTAGAAGCAACCAACATGAAGACAGAATATCAAATCTAGTAGACTGGTTTAACTCAGCAACCACCACAGAAAAGACTTCTTAAAAGCAGCAAGGGACCACACACACACAATCAATCCAACAGCTGATAGATGATGCAAAGAAGAGTGTCATAAGACTAAAGGATCAATGAAAAAATCATAAAGATAACACAAAGAAAAAATAAATTCAAAGAATAGCAGAAAACTCCCCCAAAATGGAAAACGAAATTTGTCTAACAGGTAAATGTTAGAACCCCAATTAGTAGTCATGATCAGGAAAAACTACACCAAGGCAAATTATGGCCAAGACTCGAGAAATTCTACATAAAAACAACATATTAAAGCTGTTTAAGAAATAAAGCACCTATAATGGAAAACCCGTCACAATCACAGCAGACATCTCAAAATAAATCCTTGAATGAAGGAAAGTCTGACATATTTTAAGCTCTAAAAGAAAAGAACCTCCAACTAAGATTGATGTATGCAGCAAAACTATCTTTTAGGTTTGATGGAGAAAAAAGATACATCCATGACAAAGAACACCTAAAGAAACTGATGACCCATCAAACCAGCACTCCAAACATTCTTAAGTATATTGTAGAAAAAGACAGGCATCAATTCCATGAGTTCCAATAGAATGAATCCACCAAGGCAAGGAAAGCAATTAATTTTTTTTGGTACCGGGGATTGAACTCAGGTCCTTGCGCTTGCAGGGCAGGCCACCGAACCACTGAGCTAAATGCCCGGCCCAAAAGCAATTAAATAAGAAAAAAAAAATAAACAAACAAATGAAAGACAGACAGACAGACAGAAAAAGAACCAACAAAAATAAATTAATGTGGAAAGGATACTAATACACATCAGTTATGTAAATCGTCTCCAATCACCAATCAAAAGAAACAGGACTTATAGAATGGATCAAGAAGCAAAATCCAACAAAATGCTACATAAAACCAACACATTTAACTCAAAAAGAAACTCAGAGCCTGAAAGTCACAGGATGGGAAACAGTACTCCATATGACAGGAACACAGAAAAAAGCAGGAATAGCTATTCTATTTGCAGTGTGAGTGGATTTCAAGCCAAGACTGTTCAGAAGAGAAGGAAGGTCACTACGTATGTGTTAAGGGAACAATCCAAGAGGAAGTGCTAACAGTCATAATTATACGTGAACCACACCAATTATATTATAAAAACAAAGAGTAATAGACATGAAAAATCAGATAAACACCAATACAACTGTAACGGGGGATTACCTAGACAAAAAAAAGTCAACAAAGAAATATCAGAGCGCAACCAAACCTTTGATCAAATGGACTTAGTAGATGTTTAAAGAGTGTTCACCCCAGCACAAAAGAATACATATTATTCCCAGCAGCACATGGGGACTGTCTCCAAAATAGAACACATACTAGAACATGCTTAATTAAATGCAAAAGAAGTAAAATTATACCATGCACATTATCAGATCACTTTGAAGTGAAACTGGAGTTAATGGCAAAAGAAATATAATTGGGCCTGGGATTTAGCTCAGAGGTGCCACCACCTGCCTCGAAAGCTCAGTGTCCCAATTTTGATCCCCGGTAACAAAAAACAAAAAACAAAACAAAACAAAACAAAAGAAACATAATCAGTGGCCAAAACTAAACACATGGAAATTAAATAATACCCTCCTGAGCAAGCATTGGGTCATGAAATTAAAGCAATGGGGATGAAATTAAAGAAATTAGTTTCTAAAATTAAACAATAATGCCAATAGACATACAATATGAAAGCAGTTGTATGAGGGAAATTTATAAAAGTGAATTCACACATTCAAAAATAGAGCAAACAAATAAAATCCCAGGTCCCAACAGATTCACTGATGAATTCTACAAGAATTTTAGAGAACTAACAGCAGTACACCTAATTCTTTAATGAAAGTGAAAGGGAAGCAATACTCCCAAACTCATTCCTGGAAGCTATTATCACCCTGATACCAAAACCAGAGAAGGATTCAACCAAAAAAGAGAACTACGGGGGCTGGGATTTAGCTCAGTGGTTCTACCACCTGCCTTGCAAGAGCAAGGTCCTGAGAACAAGCTCAGCTACCAAAATAAAAAGAGAGAGAGAGAGAGAGAGAGAACACTACAGGCCAATCTCCCTAATTAATACAGATGAAAAATCATCAAAAAAGATACCAGGGGGTGTTGGTGGCACATGTCTGTAATTCTAGCTCTCAGAAGGCTGAGGCAGAAAGACTACAGGGAGTTTGAGATTGAGGCCAGCCTGGGCTGCCTCGTGAGTTCAAGGCCAGCCTGAACTACATTGTGAGACCCTGTCTCTAAAAACAACAAAAAAAAAAACATGCAAAAAAAAGATACTGGCAAACAATGCAGCAAATCCTCATGGAGGTTATACACTATAACCAAACAGGACTCATCCCAGGGATGCAGGGATGCATCAACATATGCAAATCAATAAACATAATATATCACATTAACAGAACCAAGGACAAAAACCACATAATTATCTCATGATTATTTTAACAGATGCAGAAAAAGCATCAGATAAAGTCTAACTTTCTACAGACAATTGTAATATATGGTTTTATCTCAATTTGATAAGTTATTTATAACGCACCAATAGCCAACATACTAAATGGTCAAAAACTGAAAGCTTTCACTTTAAAATAAGAAAAAAAGACAAGGATATTCAACATCACACTCTTATTCACTACAGCTCAGAGAAATTACACAAGAGAAAGAAAAGGAATAGGATAGGAAAGGAAGAAGTTAAATTATCATTTTTGTACATGACAGAATACTCCACATAGAAGACCCCAAAATTTCACAAAGACCCCTAGATGTAATAACTGAATACAGTAGCAAAGCTGGATACAAAGTCAACACACACACACACACACACACACACACACACACACACACACACAATCAATAGCATTCCTATACAAAAATAAACTCACTGAAAGGGAAATTAGGGAGCCACATCTTTGATAAAAGCTACCACAATACTATTGAAAAAAATGAAATACTTAGGAATCAGTCTAATGAAGTAAGAGATCTTTACACTGAAAACTATACAGTACTCTGAAAAAAAGAGATTGGAGTATGTTATCAGAACAACAAATGTAGTGGGTAGGAAGAATAAATATAGTGAAAATGGCCATCCTCCCAAAATTATTATAAGATTTAATGGAATCTTGATCAAAATACCAATAGCATATCTCACATAATTAGAGAAAACAACTCTAAAATTCATTTGCAACCAGAAGAATCCTAGAAGAGCAAAAGCAATTCTGAGCAAAAATGGCAAAGCCAGGGGGCTTCACAATACCTGATTTAAAACTATACTACAAAGCTACAGTGGTAAGAACAACAATGGTAGCTTTGCACAGTGGCAGTTTCATAGGCAATGAGGTGTATCCAAGGCATGAATGTGTTAATTAAAAAACAGCAATACTACTGGCAAAACAAACTAACTAACAAAACAGACTACTGTGATAAACCAAAACTATAAATAAGGACCAAAGTGTAGAGGAGATATTGTGAAATAGAAAGAAAATGTTTAACTGGGAAGAGGATC